ATCCGAATAAAATGTGTTCGTGACGTTTTAAAACCGTTTTTATTTGTGTGTGTGTCTAATTCACATCATATCTTTTAACCTCCAGGGAATGTTCCTTAGTTTATCTAGCTATCACCGACAGTGATAATAAACTAGATTACCGCAGTCGTATTGGAATGCAGCATTTCTGTCTTTAACAAGGACCGCATTTACTCGTGTACACCCCAGTCTATATATAAGGACAATGTTCTCTTCTACTGACGTTTCAACTCTTATGAATTCTTTGTTTGTCTAATGAAAGAAACCAATTGCTCTAAGCTATCATTTTTATAATATTGCTAATTAATTTTTTTTTACTTTTCGTGATTTAGTTCTCATTGTCTACGGTACAGATATAAGGAAATAGTTCTAAAATATGATTTTATTAAGCAAAATAATAGTTAAGTTATTACGACAGCCATTATCGTAAATTAGGTAGTATTCAAATAAGTTCTTTTTCGCTTAATTTTTAAGACGTCCTTTGATAATTTGCCGAATTTAATGAAATTAATAAATAATCTGCATTTCAAAAGGATTATTTACAAAAATACCCATCGGTTTAAATGCTTTTAATGCAGTATGCAAAGAGATAGAAAGGGACAAACAAGAGAACAAATTAGATGGGTTATAGAGCTTTAGTAAAGAGAGAAGTAAATAGTGGTACCGGCATGCTTTGAACAAACATTTCAGAGATTCGAGAGTTGAAGTGGTCTTATATTATCCCCATTGCTGATTCAAGTGCGATTAATTGCAATTCTGTTATTGGAGATGCAGTAGGTGTTAGTTTAGAGGGTCTTTTACGGAAGTATCTTGGTTATAACTCCACACAAACATTTTCTATTTACTTTTTGGTGCGGTGTTTGCATAGCCTTTACCTTTAATAATGAAAGATACATAGAATTTATCTATATAGCATTAGCTAAAAATATATTTTCTATTTATTAAATATTTTAAACGGAAAATTCTAATATTTGTCACCGAAAGTTTTCTGTAGACCTTTAAAATTTATATAGAGGCCTATTTAGGTTATAATATAAACCTTGCTAGAGATAAATAGAATTGATATCGTTTCTTTTTTTAATTTTAGGTATATTCCACTTCGTGATTACACGTTCCTTATGAATAAATATGATAATTACGTCTTATAGGTGAATACATTATAATATTTAGGTCTACTTTAATAATTATATCGATATGATAAATTAGGCAAATTTTCAAAACAATCTCTTTAAATATATCAAGATTTCCTATCAAAATGGATATAAATATAGGCCTGTGTACTGAAGGTTGTTTCGTTTAGCTTTGATCGAAGCACAACTGATAAATAAGTCCTTACAAAATTGACTAGATATCAGTTATGAAAAATTCATCCCTTCTAGAATGAAGTTCTTTAATATGATTTGATTTTGTTCTTGCATGCTAATTATTCCTCCCTGATTAAATTTATTTAATATCTGCTGCAATATATCCAAATGGCTGAACAGTTTTCTATCTCGTAACTACATGACCGTACGTCAGATGGTCCCATTCTGTCAACCGATACTTACAAGTTTGTCTAGCGTTAAAATTTTCTGTCACCTTTCGGTGACATACTAAGATGGATGGATGCCGGTCCAACTTACAACAAACTTTGGTCACTTAACAATTGCAACATCTTCAAACGCATTCCCTACAGATTTCGTGTAGTATCAGCTATTTTAAGATTTTTAATATAACATGCGATCTTTTAGTTTTATTAAATCTGCATTTTAAATCCAATATTCTTATTCCTTAAGGAGAAAAATTGGATGACGTGGTAATTTTACTAAGGAAATTTTGCCTTTAAATTTAGAAAATACAAATTTTAAAATGAAGACGATTTAAGATATTTTCCTACTTCCCTCGTTGAAATTTACTGTTTTATAGTTCTCTTCCCCCTACCTTTAGGGGGTTAGAAAAAAGAGAAGCAAAAAGCCTAGAGGGTGAAGTACACGAAGAACGAATCACCATTTTAAGGGCGATTTGATGATTGTTAGAGTCCTAGTCACTGTTCGGGTAAGCAGGAAATTGCCAGGAAATTCACCTTGCAGAGGCGTCACCTGTCCAAAACAGGCAACCGAAATTGTATAGGCCTAGTATAGATAGTACGATAATCGAGCCCCATCTTTTGAATTAATGATTTGGGTGTACAAATTAATATTAAAGAGTGCAGTGTGTTTGTTTTAACATGCAGAATTTTTATTATAACATAAAGTCTGTTATCTTTTGACCTCTTTCGTTCTATTCTGTGTCGTTGCGTGTGTCAGACCAACACAAATGGGCGGGTTGAACGATTGTGGTTAGTGTGCTGAACAAACTGTTGTTATAGGTTATCTCGATTGAATATAACCTACCGAACGTTGTACGACATCATGAAATTATAGTTTTTGTAAATAAATAGACTATATAGGTATATATTTTTCTCTGTAAAAGCATCGAAGGGCAGCCAGATGATAAAAGTAATTCGATTAAAGGGAAAAAGTCGATTTAATTTTTCGGAAATTCGAATCTCTTGTATATTATTTATAAATTATAATTTTATTTTTAGTCTTAACCCGTTTATTTACAACATTTATCATGCATACGATACGTATTATTTACGAATTAAAATCTAATTCTGAAGACCTTAAATACGTTAAAATTCTATAACTACAAGTAGATTTAATAGAGGAAGCATCCATAATTCTTCCAAATTTCAGTAAATAACTAAGTCCTAGTTTTAGTTGATTTAAAACCTATTTAAAAACTAGGCTTTTAGGATATTTTCAACAGGTTTAACTTGTTATGACCTATTTGTAAAATTTTCTTTAAAGTTTTTAATTTATTTGATGTATTTCCAATGCAGTGTAGTAGATTTAGAAACCTGTAATTACGCTTGGAGTTTCGGAAATTTTTTTGAAAAATGGTCAATTGATCAATTTTAAAAGATACTATAAACAGTTTAAGATGTTAAGAAACAAAAGAATTATGTTTTAATAATAGACCTATCCGTAATTAATCATATATACCCAGTCATTTTAATTGTAGACCTAAAGTCTTTTATAAAATTCAATTTTACGTTTTTTCAATCTGTAGATTATAAACTAGTATAAATTTTTTATTAATACAAACAATTAGATTAAAATCAGTGTCTACAAAACTGACACATTAATTAGTTGGAGAAGAGAGAAAGAGAGCCTATACTATGCCCCAGGATGTAAATTGGATTCTGTACATTGGGGTTACTTCTGTGCTTAATTACAGAGTAACAATACAGATATGTCTGGGAAATGAAGAGGGGTGAGAGGGGAAGAGCGAAACAATCCATGAACAATAATTATGACTTTAATTGGGCCAAATATCAGAGACTCTATTAAAATATCATCTATTTACAGGTGAAGAAGGTTGAAGTAATGTTGAAATGGTTTACAGAAAAAGAATGCATTTATATCGATCCGGTATATGTTTTAAGATGGGAATTTTCTAAGTAAATTTGTAAGTATAAAATAATTTTTTTTTTAAATCTTGTTTTAGTTAAAAGATAAAGTATTGAAATTTATGAAGATTATTAGATTACGAAGCAAGAAATTAAATGGCGAAAAAAATTGTAATAAAGAAAAATATTTAAACTGGAAAGTGTAACGTGCTTTAGATAATAAGTCTGTTTATTGTTTAATATTATTAAATAAACACTCCATCCACTTTTGAATTTTTGTTGAAACAGCACTTGAAATTGTTAAATATAGCAGAGTAATAGATTTTGTTGTGTCTTTAATTTTATTATACATTGTTATTTACAATGAACAATGTGAAATTTGAAACCTATTCAGTTATAAAAATTCTGTTTTGATATTTAAGATCCAAATTGAAATATTTGAAAATTTCTTTTTTCTACTCTTTTGCTTCAGATTTTGCAATATTTTATGTCATATTTTTAATTAAAGAGAATAAAAATAGATGCGGTAGATAAGTTACAGACATATATTTAAATTAGCATAACAAGCTAATAAAATATTTTGCAAATAAACAGTGTTAACACTTGAAAATTGAGGAGTGGTAGGTGCAATAGATTAGGTATCAGTATCCAATTTTCTATCTATTTTTATGAGGTTTTAATGTATGCTTCAGTAACAACACACGAGTTTATAGTGGGTGATATTTGTATAGGATTGATATAGGCCTATTTTGACCAAGTAGTAGGACTTTTATGACCTCTACACCACGTTAGGAGATAAGAGAATCTGTCTTGAGCCTAATAACCTTACTCAAAACAAGTTTGGTGAAGGCTAACTTTAACTATTTTTTATTTTATATCACTTTTTTATATCCGAAAAGGGATAAATATACAGAGACGTTATAAACGCGTGCCGTAGACAAAAATAAAGTGGCTAGTAAATCGATATTTATAATATATATACATATATATATATATATAAATGACTATGTGTTAAATTAACAGTTATGTTTAAAGGTAACACGACACAGGTTAAGTTCAGCTACTCGAACGTACCGGGAGCAAAGTTTACATTAGGAGCTATACAAGTACATTTATAATACAAACTCGGCAATTAGTTCAAACATAACTTTACTACATGTGGGCGGTTTTTGACGGAGCGAGTGTCGACTAGACATTGTTCCAAAGTTTACTCGTAATAAAAACGTGCACATTTCCGTATATTAACGCTAGTAAAAGAGCAATATACGGAACGGCACTCGACTACGTTATTATTTTTAGAATAATAAGCAGAAGGGCCCGTTCAGCTGGGAGCGTGTAGTGCCGTGTGTACCTGCGGACTGCTACGATAAATACCGGGTGAACCGGACGGAGAATGCCGCAGGCTTACACCAACTCTCCCATCGCCTTTGTCAGACCATCCCGATAATCGATACAAACTTTTGCTTTAGTGGGACTTAAAATTTGCTATACAAACCCCCCTCGGCTTCATTCACTTAAGATTATATACGATAGAAAATTCCACACTTACCTATCATCGTAAGCGAAATCTGCGTTGAGTGTGTTCCAGTATAGTAGAGATGACATTCCAACCACCATCAATACCACAACATATTCCATGTTGTCTAGTTTGTGACCAGCCAGAGTATGGCTCGACGGTTCTTTTTCCCGTCGCCACTGCGCACGCGCACTTCGTCCAGGCATACAAACGACTGTCATGTACAGGATAACCAATCAGGTTTGTTTAGCGATGACGCCCTAAAAAGATAGAACCACTTGCATTAGAAGATATATGTGACGTCGTGGACCATCTCACAGCTGTATATAGCAGAAAGACTAATTTAATAGCTTACAACTAGTAAACTAAGTAACTAAGCTCCGACGCTACGCTTTTTCTTTCATTATCCATCTAAATTTTTTTGCTCCGACAACCTGCTTTTTTCATATCAAGTAACTTATAAATATATATATATTTATTTTTTTTTCTATTTGTGCTATATATTATTATATAATTTTCTTAATATATGTATATTTTTTCCTTATTTTACAGATATAAAAAAAATTTAATTTTAATATTTTCTAAAGTGACACAGAAGGTAATTTATAACAGAATATTTTATAATTTATCCATTAAATATATATATTTATTTATTTAGCTATTAAGAATAATGTGACAAAATAATTAAATTTTAACTTTATTAGTGTAAATAAGAAGAAAAAGAAATAGTCTAATGTATATTTAGATAGAATTATTTTAAAACAAGTTTTATGTACGTTATACATAGAAAAAAAATTATATATTTTAAATTTATTCTTTAATAAAACATGTCATTTGTATTTGAGTCTTTGTGTTTCAAGTTTGATTAATATCATAAATCCAGTTTGGCTATCAATATCTCAATTGAAAAACAAAAATGACAGATGACAGCCTTATTAAGTTGCTTCAGAACAGCTGGAGGAATAGGTACATCTACTTGATAGGTAAGTGAACTAATTGACTAACAATAATATTTATATATTTAATTATAAAATTTTAAGATAAATTTTTTATACTTTAGTTTTTTTCGTTTAAAAAAACATGCCTAAACCTCGAAATTTTATTGTTATAAATATATATAGATACGCATAGTTACATAATAAATTAAAGTTATGATTCTTACACAGGGGAGAGAGAGAGAGAGAGAATAAAAAAAGGATTTAAAAAGTAGTGTGGGTGGTTCAGAGTTTTTAATATTCTGTTGAGGGATGGTCTACGATTTACGACCTCAATTATTTCAGTGAAAAGTAATTTGGGATTTTCCTTCGAGAGATCACTTAATGCTAGTTTTACAAACTGGGATATCGTTAGCTGATTTCATGTCATTTCTTCGTGATAAAGTTGAAAATTTTCTTCTCGAATGAGTATAATTAGTCGCAGATGATAAGTTTGCTTTATAATGCTCTATTAACAGGTATAAACGCGAGCTTGTGTAGGTTTTTGTGAAGAAAAATATTTATAAATGTGGCTAAATTATTAATGATATTTATACCTTATATGGTCTCTCCTTAGCTAAAAGGAAAATAATAATTAGATATTCCAAAGAAGGATTATGATAGGTTAGAATTTAGCTAGAGGGTTGAATCTAAAGTTGGAAGTTGTGTATAGACTAGGCCTAATAAGTGAGATTAGACTTGTAAGAGGTTGTACCAAATGTAAATAAGAATATAATGATAAATTAGACAATGTATAAAAACTTATCAAAAGTATTAATTAAATTATCGGCTTATATTTAGAAAATAATAAACTAAACCATTTATAAAGTTAATGAAGGGAGACTATAATAAAATTTGGGGAAAAAATCGCTGTAATGTTTTCTTACCCAAAAATATGAAAAAATTAAAAAGTGAAGAATTTAAATGGAATGTTGAAACATATATATGATTTTTTCTTTCCAAATTCCATTTAACTAGATATCAACACGAAGACGATACTCTTCTTTTCTCATCTTATCTTCAATTCATTGTCCCAAAAGATATAAAAAAAAGGATCCTTCTTAATACGAACTGGGTCTATTTTGCATTTTTGTTTAACGTCAACCATTTCCTATCGTTTAACGATCTCTAAAATTTAACAACGAATAGAAACGTTTCTTAATAAATCAATCTATTTTCGGTTCTCCACTCAAATTACTTCATAAAAGATAGCGGCTGAAAAATGAAATATTCTCATAAAAGTGTCGTTTCGAAAAATATAATAATAATATTTTTGTCGAATTCTCGACTCCAAAAATACTCCTGACAAAAAGAATTTGTTAGGCAATTACCAAATTGACAACCCACACATTTTAGCAGGAGTTAAGTAGCAAAATAAGGGGACAAATTAGCGTAGATCCTTACAATTAAAGCACATAAAAAAAGAGACTGGTGAAAGAGCGGGGCACGTCATCGAGACTTAAATTTAATCTAGTCCCGTTAGAAAAGGAAAAAAAAAAGAAGAAATGTTTGTTAAAAGTTTCCGACCTTATGTTACCCAACAATAAGTCAATGGGAAGTTACGAAGCCATCAACCCTAATTACTGGACAGGACGGCAGCTGCACACTTGACACATCTGTCCACTGGATTTATCGAAGGTAGTAGAGGTTCACAAAGCTGTCCTCCTCGTGACAGCTGGTCCGTTCCTAATATTCTTATACAATACTGTCTCTTTTATTGCTTGTATGTTTTCTATGAGGATGGACAGAAGAAATTCTCGGATATTTAATGTTTTACGATTCTGCATCCGATCCATTTTGAATTTGCAAACTTGCACATTTTACGTCGAGTACTAATGCGTGCTTTCGAAAATATGAATACGATGCGCATTTTTCTCGAAGGATGAGAGAGATTTTATGGCAAATGTTACTGTTATTTTGGTTAGGATATTGCAAATTTTATCGTGATGTTCCCGATCATGCATTAAAAGAATTTTTTTTTTAAGTACATACTTCGGTCATTCATAATAGGATAATATGATAAAGTTAATATTGCACTCTCGGTCTTACGGTTATATTGATTTCACTCCGCATAAATTTCACCAGAATTTAACTTAAATATATTTTTTCACTCCTTTTTTTTCTCCTTCAAAATATTCAGAGGCATTATTTACAGTTAGGTTAACTCCAAATATTAATATATCAGAAAAATTCCTATTATAAAAAGTTTGAAAAAAAAAATAATAAAATATCTCGTACATTGTCTGAAAATTGGCATTTGATAAAATAACATAAAAAAATAATAATAGAATAAATTTGGCAATGATTTTTCTGCGATGCGCCCGTTGAAAAAATATATAAAATTCCTATACTACATCCAGAAATGTTGGCAATCCATTTCGAAATTTATAAAATAATAACAGCATAAAATAAATGTCAAGTTCTACACAAGCCTATATTTTAGATCTGTGCTTTTGCCATCTTTTAATCAAATAAAAATTTTATCAAAACTTCAAGAAAGAAGAAAAATGGTTTCGGAGGAACGAGTGAAACACGATACATAATGTTTTATCGCACCAAAATCATATTATTAACCATAATTATTTCCACCGTATCATATTACAGACATTAAAAGTCTAGAAAAGCAGAGTTCAAGCGATTGGTAAATCTGACTAGAAAATTCATAAATACTACATTAAGCTTTTCTCTTTTCATTAACTGATCATCTGTGCGAAACAGAATCTGATTAATACCCTGTCATGCTGAGTATTTTCGACACAACTAACAAAAGGCATGTCGAGTAATGAGGACGAAGTAATTTATGAACACTTTAGCTGGCTTACTGTGTTAACCAACCACCAATGGTGAATAACCTTTAGTTTATATTAACCCTTAACCTTTTACAAGATTCTTTCAATGACAGATCATTCATTCTATTTCATAATTTGTTTTATACATTTGAACATGTAGGTTTTGGTACAACAGGTGCAAGTGCTGTTGATATTTGAACGTTTGTGAAAGTAAAGTATGACCTTCTGCTCTTCCTTCTTAGCTAATTTTGGATTTTATAAGGAACTGTAATGCCCTGTTATCTAATACTCGTAAATTGATGATTGAAAAGTGTGCATAATATTAATTTATAATGTTAGTGTAATATTTCAGCAAAAATATTCAGCATCTCTGAACTGAAAGTAGACTTTAAATGGAGTATATATATTTATATATGAATAATTAATACGATTTCATTACAGAATCACATGTTTTGGATCATTAACTTGCTTTTAATTTGCAATAATTATCGTTAAATGTCTTAAAATCTTTTGGCGAAGTTGGGATTTTATGAACAAGAAATTCAATAATTTAACTTAATCTGCTCGTTTTTTTTTAATTTTAAAATATAAAATTATTCCGTTCGGAACGATGCTATTTTTTTATACTTAAATGTCATTAAAAATTTTTGAAAGGGAGACGAAATTTTCCATTTAAATTCTATCACAATTTGACGTGTTTTAGTTGAAATAACTTTTGATCGATATTCCAATGATTAAATGTTGGAAGAAGTGGCATAAATAATTTGAAATTTTATTTAAAAATCGCTCTCAACTCTAAAGAATATCGAGACAGTTTATCCGATTTTCAATTTATTTATTGTGTGAAAATTGATACCCACATTGCACAACTTCAATATTTCAAACACAATGAAGTATGTATTTACAAAACCAGGATCTGGGTATCGACAAACAGACTTATAGTTTCGATCGCCTTCTTGAATAGAAGTCGCAGGTTTTCTCTCGTATATGTGTGTATGTATATTCTATAAATAAATAAATAAATATATATATTGAAAATTCTCTGGGCACCAATGGAAACTCCCAAATCATTCTAGAGCCAAAATGCCCTTCAAATACTTCATATTACAATATATCGCAGATGATCTGAAGCCAATAAAAATGAAAATAACAGGTAAGTATAAGAATTCCGACTCAATTTGGTAACAAACCACCTTAAGAACATCATAAAGTGCAGTTTCATTTCAGCTAACCGAGGAAAATCCTAGGCTGTGCATCAACTGAGTTTTAGTCACGTGTGCTGCATCGATTCCTTCCCACTACTCTCTCTCTCTCTTTCAGCTAGAAACTTGGCCAAGTAATTTATGAGAAGGCACGAGACTAGATTTTAAACTCGGATGCTTTAAGTTGGTATGATTATGAAATGTTTTGCCACGCAGAGTAAGTGAACAGCACACTCTTCTCGCCCGCTTACATTTTCATCCTACTTTATTGATATTTATCACTGTTAATGCTTTC